TCCGCACATAGAACTGAAAAAATACTCTCAAAACTGTATAATTCAAAATATTGACGCATCGAAACAACATTTTCACATTTTTGACGGGTTTTCATTCTGAACTTTGCGCTCCATCAGGAATTTTGGCTCAATATTTGACTATAGAATTGAACATCGATTTGCAGGGATTTTTTTAGCCTTAAGTCGTATTCAGCAAACTTTCTGCCCCCAAAAAATCGCAAATTCGCACATAAATTATGAAGCAATTATCCATCAAATTTTTTATTTTTATGGGCTTTGGCTCCTCTTGAAAATTGGCATTGGCAAAATTCTAAATTTTGAGTTTTTGTAAGCTTTTTTGAAAGAGCAACATTTTTTCTTCATGGGTGCATTTTGAAAAATATTAATTTTCGTATTTGCGTGCCTCAATATTTTGATATTTTGATTTACGTCGATTAGAGAGACACTTTTCGCCTTTATGTACGGACTTTGGTACAAAAAAATGACTGGTGAAACGCTGTAAATCAAAATGAAGCATTAAAATATAAAATTTCAGATTTAGACGAGGTTAACCTCTCTGAAATCCGAAATGAAAAACGCTAAATTCTGCATGTGTATTTAAAGCAGCGTTTTGAGAGTAATTTTTTTATTTTTTGTGCTTGTTGAGCAATTTTTCATCACTAAAATGTTCAGAAAATCCAAGTTGAAATTTGGGATAGAGAACGCAAAATGTTGCGCGTGTATATCCAACAATTTTATTCACGAAAAGTGCAGCATTTTGAAAAATAGTGAATTTATTTTTTACAATCTTCTTTTTGGGTATTTCGCCTCGAAAATTTTTGTCTTTAAAAAAGACACAATTTCCTCACGTCTTTTGTTACAGATTGATAAATAGTGCTCTTATTCCGCAATAAGAACGAATTATTTATCAAAAAGTAATCAAGAACTATCACCTAGAGGGTCCTGCGACACACTTAGGCTCAAGCTGTAAGAGAAAATTCCAATTAGTAGAGAAATTAATTTGAAAAATTACCTTGACTTTTCGATAGCTATTTT